TATACAAAAGATTCAGGATGGAGTTTTGATGTCTCGAATGAGGTTCTCTCTCTCATCTACTTTTATATCTCCTTAGATATTTGTTTTTAATGTTTCAGATTAGTCACATTTAATTAAATTCAGTTCCAATAAATCCATATGGTATATAGTTATTCATGCCTGATGAGCATTCAGAAGAGTTTGGTTGATCAGGTTATGAACTTCTAGAGTAGCTTGAAATGATGAAGGGGTGAAGAACATTGCTTCTTTATTTTTGACTTTATTTTTCTCTTTGGTTGGTTGTTGTTTGTTTTAAGATGTTGATGATTTAAGTAGTGATGAAGACTAGCACTCTAAGGAGGTAGAAGTGCAGTACTCAGCTTGCGACAATAGAAAGTTTCATGATCTACATTTTTTAATGTTTGTGTTATTCAAAAGACATTTGTGTAATTGTGTTGGAGTTTTTTTGGAGACTTTAGTTTATCGTTTTTTATTATGTTACTAGTTGTATTGAAATTAATTTTTCCTCCATATGATGTGAAATTAGTCAATGACAATTTTATTACGTTAAAAAGTAGGTCGAATGGCCATTTTTTTAATAGAACCGTTTTGGACTCAGATCCTTGAGATCCATTGGATCTGGATCTGGGTCCCAATTTTCTAGACCCACGGATCTAGGGCGGGTATAGATCTAGGATGTGAAAATGGGTCTAGATCTGGGTCTAGCTGGATCCGGTCCAGATTCGGCCCATTGCGTTCCCTATTACGTAGATAGAATGCATGAATTCTGTTGCTGACATTTCTTCTTATCGGTTTGAAGTCTTATGGCATAAAAGTTGGATACGGTGGGATTCCAGGGCCTTCTGGAGGCCGAGATGGTTCTTCTTCTCAAGGTGGTGGTTGCTGCAATTGAAGTTTGAGTTCTCATTTTCGGGGGGAAATGAAATACAAGTGGTTCATGTAACCTTAAACATTCTTTTAGTTCCTTGTTTAATTTGATAGTCACTGAATACTGCATCAAAGTGTGACTTATATAATCCATGTACATGTGTTCTCCATTTGATTGTAAATTTGATTTCATTTGTGAGAACCGTGATGAAGGGAAATTGTGAAAAATAAGTTGATTTATGTTTTGATGTTGTGTTATATTTGAATCGAGTGAAAGCTTGTATTTTCAGGGCTATTTCAGATTAAATGTTGATATATATATATATATATATATATACTGTACGCTTATGAAAATATTGAACGTTTTCGGCACAGGAATGCCTTAGGTTTGGTTTTAGATTTTCATGTACAAAGGAAGAATGCTTTAGCCTTAACAATACATAAATTCAATGGGAGACACCGTGGTGCTCATAGGGATCGTAGAATCAGATGCTAAAGTAATTTTTGATTGGTTGCTTGGTTGGTAAAACGTAATCCAGTCTCTTGGAATCTATTCTATTCTATTCTATTTCATCCTATGTTTATTAGTTATCGCATATAAGAATATAATCTTTTATAAATGGGATTAAAACACTATCAAGTGTTCTTAAATTATTAGTTTACTTCATATAATATTAGAATGTGTGTATTGATCAGACGTGTGTAATGATTTTGAAACAGATAGCCGTCCATCTATTCGATAAACAGATATTATATATTAGAATGTTCATAATATAGCTGTTTCAAGATAGCCATCCATCTACAACACGTAAACCTGTACAAACTGGGACAGCTGTGTTTTGATCAAGGTAGATTTCAACAGACGCTACCAGAAACAGCAAGGTGATAATAACAAAGATCTGTAGGGACTGTAACCTGCTTTACACCGTATATCAACGCTTTCTCAAGCTAATGCCTTCCTGCACAATTTCTTTTTTTCTTGCAGAGAGATCCCCCCGGATGGGGGGGGGGATCAGATTTGTTCAAAACTTTCTGAATGCCTATACTCTACGGTTACTACTGGGCGTCATTATTCCTTGAAGCTTCCAACCACCATATCCTGCTACGGCAAATGTCTGAAAAGTTGAGACATTAGGTTCAGTAATGATTCATCCGTTCAAAAAATTACAAACAAAAAACATCTCCAATCTCAAATCTGGACAATAATTAGTTATGATGATTAAGCAGAACTTGACAAGTTTTTGCATTTCATAGTATATGTACCCGTCCAAAACAGACATTATGATTAACCACCACTTTCTATATATGGAGTTCTTCAATTAAAAAGAAGTATCATCAGGGGATCAGACAGAATAAACACCATAAATCGTTGGCTCCAACTCTTCTTTTATGTGGCACCAGTTCTATTGAGACATGCCATGTTCAAAAATCAGCCCTCATTGATGAGATATCACAAGCACATTAACGTAGATGCATAAAAGAACTCCACACCCTAAAAAGAGGTGGTCTCAAATCTCTGAACACAGGAGCAAAAGCTACAGGCATGGCCCTTAAAAGCTTAATTTTTCTAGTTTAGAAGGTAATTACCCAATCCAGTTCTACACAGGGTTGATCCCACTTCCTCCATCAGTCCACTAATCATGCCCTAATTTACAAGGCAACACTGTTTATCCAACAAATAAAAGTTTTCAAAAGTTTGGCACTAGGTTTCACGGATGATTATATATCCAAGTAAATATACTTTGAAAGTGTACTGAATGTGCACTCTGTAGGCCTTACAAGAACTTTTGAATAGTCTGATTTTATGTTGGTCGTACAGTTCTGTTCTTTTGATGTGTAATAAGTATCCAGCAGACAACGCATGGATTTGGCACTCCAAATAAAGACAAAGAAAAATATATATACTCGGGTTAGAATGTACATATCTTACATCCACGGAGTGCCAGCAAAACAGGCCTTATTTCATGCAATTAAGCAGCAAGATCAGAAATGCCCAATTACATATTTGTATTGTTTAAAAAGAAGTATAATAAAGAAAGCTTGCATCAGCCTCGTCCTTAACTTATCCTGTTCTAAACCAAAATTTCATTAATAATAAACAGTTAAACCTACAGATTCTATGAGAACACTCAACAGAAAACACATAAACTAGATTACGCTCTATAAGAGCTTACGATAATAGTTCACAAGTCCAACTTAGCAATACTTAAAAATAGCAGTTCTTACATATAAAAGTAAAACATACAGTAATCAAGTATCGAGCGGTTTGATTTGGCATATGCTTAGCTTATAAAGATTATATTTTATATATTACTTTCACAAATATGTAAGGAAAAATGACACAGAGACAACATGACAGAAAATATTTTATGAAAGGATACCAAACCTCTTCCCAAGATTGTCCAGGAGCTTCAAGCAAAGCAGCATTGCAAGTCTTGAGCTCTACGGAAGTACCGGTGAACATGGAGGCTGCCTCTTCCCATCCTCTATTATGTCCCATGCACCTGTATAACTAATTTAGTGTGAAACTGTGATAAACTACAAATAGATATTTTCTTAGGAAACAAGAACACAATTATACTAATCAGGCTTCAATTAAAGAGTGGAAACCTAAAGCTTGAACCAGAATGAACATTCGAAAATAAATAAAACCAGTAAAAGAAAATCAAAGTAGAAAGCAAAAAAGAACACTGACATGATAGTATTTCATCCGTTGAAGACTGACAGATAGTTCGTTGGAGGTGTTCAGCAGTCTCTCCATCCGTGGCTGCAATGGAATAAAAACTAGATAAAAATGGACCTCTGTTTTCAGAAAACTACGCACCTGTTCCTGCATAATTTTAAGTGTTTCTCTGGTTCGCACGGCATCGCTGGAGCAACATGAATTAAGAGATTGAGTTCCTCTTTGCCTTCTAGAATCAATACTAGATTTTCAAAATATGATAGAGAAGATAAGCTAGCTAACCTGGATAAAATAAGCTGAGGGATCCAACCCATACGTTGGAGCTCTCGAGAAACCGCTACATCATCAACTCGTCCGGATTTGCTTAGAGGACGGTCGTGATATGATGGGGCAGGGATTCGCCACATTGTGGCATTCACCATTGGGAAAATTAAGATAGAAAAAAATGGGATTAATAAAAACAAGAGGTCAAGTGAAAGAGATTTTTCAAAGAAAAAAAAAGGAACCTCGTAAAGCCGGATATTGCCAAGAACTCTTGGCATGACGAAGTAGAATGAGGCGGCGATGGGTAGATTGATCCTCCGACGCGGCTAGCTCCCCTCCGCCTCCATCGTCAAACACCTCCTCCTCCGGCGCAAATAGATGGGGACTGGACTTAAGCCAATGCTCAATGGCTTGGTGGTTGAGAGGCAAGATCCCACTCCCACTGTAGCAGTTGCGTTCATTTCTGATTTCGGTGAGTTTTCTAGTATCTTTGAAATATAATATCTAAATTATAAAAATAACTATTAATAAATATTATTATTAAAAATATATAAGATATTTATTATATATGTTTTAAATTAAATAAATAATTTATTTATTAAAAATACTAATAAATATTTTAAAAACTTAAAAAATTAATTTTTATCAAAAAATTAAAAGAAAGAAATATTATAATCAATTCGACACAATAAACTAAACATAAATTTAAGTAAAAAGATGACTAAATCTTAAAATCTATTAATTAATCAACTAATTAATAATGTATATATTATTTCCTTTTATGTGAGTTTGAATATCAACATTTATTTTGAGCAATAATAATAAAAATGCATAATGCAAAATACAGTAGTGTCAAATTTACCCGTATTATTTTTTTTGAAATATTTGAGTACCGAACGTTTATTTTTGGGTTAAAAATAACTTACGCGGGATGAAAACCGTCAATTGACTAACAGTTAACGCCAGATAATGATGTAATGCGTACGCGTGGAGGAAAAAGTTGACATGGACGTCCAGATCATCAGATCACTGACATGGCACAGTCACGTCATTTTTTTAAAATTATTATTTATATTTTTTATATTATTAAATTGAATCAATCAAAGAGTAAGACATGTCCTTCTCTTATTGATGTAAAGTTAAAATGGTGAAATGCATTAAGGGGATTCAAACCTAGATTTCTCATATGTATTGCTTCACATTTTACTACCAGGCTAGGCTATTTACTCAAGTAATTTACGAAATAAATTAATAAATTTAGTTTGAATCGGTTTACTATTAGAGTCTGTTTGGTTTCTCATTTTTTTGTGTTTGATTTCCGTAAAACACCCGATCAACATAAAACGTTTTACGGTCAATGAAAAATAGAGAGGAAAACACGGTATTTCAATTTACCGTTTAGAAACCACACAAAAAACATGGTCTTTCGTTCTCCCGTCCCTGGCCCCACATGAAAAAATCGATCGACTGTTTGAAATCCTTCTCACCGGTGAGGCGGACGGTCGTCTTCTCAGGTATCTCTTGTTTCATCTTCCTTGATCTCCTTTTCTTGTTTCATCTTTCCCTCACTTTCCATTTTCAATTTCACCGACGAGGTAGAAAACACAGAAGGATTGTGGTCTCTTTGCTTTTCTTCTATTTGGAAGAACCAAAGGTGAGCTTTTCGTTCTATTTGACTTCATACTACTGTTAGTTTTTGGATCGCCCATTGCTTGAACTCGTACATTTTTTTGGGTAATTTTAGTCTCTCTTTTGTTTTTAATTCATAACCTAGGGATTTGATTGGCTGTTTGGCGAGAATTTTAAAATGGGTTTAGTAAAATAGATGGGTTTGAGTTTTGATCAGTACTTTTTTGTTTCTGAATTCTGGGTTTATGTTTCTTAAATTATTCTGTTGGATTTTGATTTCACTCTTGATTTATGCAGATGTCTTGAAATCTCAAATACTTGATTTTTTTTCTCTTTTAATAACTCAGAATTTGATTCTTCTAATCTGTTTTTATGTGGCTAAAAGCTTGAGCTTCACTGTAAATTGATAATATTGAATTGATCATCGTAGTGTATAATGTTTACTATATATGAATTATGCATTCTTTGGATCTTCTATTTGAGTTCTGTTAAGTGTTAATGCTTATTTTTGTTCATATGTTTTTTTCTTCCCGTGCTTCAAGATTTTGGATAGTGATGAAACAGTATGATGTTGAAGAGCAACATAAGGACTAAAAGGCAGAGAAAAAACGGACTTCGGCGGGATTTGGGGCAGATAATACAGTGTTTATGCGCCGGAGAGCAATTAATCAACGTAGAAAAGATGATACCCCATTGGAATACCTTGCTGCCGAAGATTATTCACTGAGTGATTATTATTCTAAAGCTAGTAACGGTGAGAAAAGGCCAGATACCGGGAATATAGAAGAAGTTGAGTTGTCGCTGCGTGAGAGTAGTTCATTGAGTTATGAGATTTGCTTCTTCATCCTTTGCAGCTTTCAAGTTTAGTTTCGGAATACGTTTGTTCGGCATTGCCGTTATATGTCCTTGGGATCTGTAGCATTGTACTGAAAATTGGAAATGGCACATAGGTTTTCCTATTATTTCCTTTTAGTGAACTCGTTTCTGCCTTTGCATCTCCCCTTTTTGCCAATTCTTTAAGTGCTTTTATTTACTTTCTTTCTAGCTAAGGTGCCTTCGATTTGCAGGAAGCTAGAACATTATTGGGAAGAAATGAATATCAGAAAGGAAATATAGAAGCTGCACTGCATGTGTTTGAAGGAATAGATATTGCTGCAATAACTCCCAAAATGAAACTTGGCCTTACTAGAAAAGTAGAAATGCGAAAGAGACTCTGACTACGCTCCTCCATGTCTACCCATTCTGTTAGTTTACTACTATAAGCAATCTTTCTCAAAGCAAAATCATTGCAACATTCAATCCACATAGAAAAAGTCCATTTTCTATCTAGTCAACAAGTCTAAAAACATTACAATAATATTATTACGGTTGGATATTATTGTTGTTCTAATGTGATAAACCCTTTAATTATTTTTGACACTATTATTATTATTATAGTTATGTATATTGTTGTTTTAATTTGGTGTACTATTAATTAACATTCTTAGGATTTATAAACTTTATAATATATTTTAATCAATTATTAATATATCTAAAATACAATTTTTATAAAATATATATATAAAAAAAATGAACCTTTAAAAATAATAAATAATAAAACATATTCTATGTACAGTTTCTTTATTAAAAACAAATTTTGAAAACTGTTTTCAGGAAAATTACTCAAACAGTGTAAAACATTTTACAATGTACTATCCAAACACAAGAAAATGTTTTCTGGAAAATGATTTGCATTTCTGTAAAACATTTTCCAGATTTTATTTTTCGGAAAACGTTTTCAGTGAAACAAACAGAATAGTACATTGTAAAATGTTTTACCATGTTTATAATAAAATGTTACATCTTTTGATCCGACGGTATATAATAAATTCAGATTTCAATGGTTTCCATGAATAAACAAGACACCAATTAAATCAATAGACAATACTAGCCCACATCCAAAGTACATGCCTAGCCCACCAAGATCCATACTAAAATGACCCAAACTAAAGTAAATCTTAAACTATTTAATTATGCTTAAATGATATTTTAATTATTAAATCGTATTTAATAATTATTTTGTTGTTAAATTATTTTTATTTTTATTTTATAATAATTTAATAAATTTAATAATTATTTTATAATATAAACTAAATTTAATAATTTACTAAAGAAGTGGATAAAAAAATTTATCAGTTTCCAACGACCAAGTTAAAGTGTTTATCGAGCTAGTCGAGCAGTGCTCAACTAGTGCTTGTTAAAAAGTTTTGTTGCTCGTTTGTTGTTTGTTAAGCTCGTTAAAATTTTGCTCGACTCGTGCTCGTTAAAAAAATTTGTTGCTCATTTAAGCTCATTGCTCATTAAGTTCGTTGCTCACCTAATTGCTCGTTAAATTAATGAAATTTTTATCTTATTTTATTAAATATGATTGGAAAATGAATAAATCAAAACTGAAATAATACAAAATGTCTCGTAACGCATGTTTGGTGTTTAAACCAATATGATTAAATGAAATGGACCACCTAAAGCAAAATAAATAAAGGCCGAGAAAGGAAAAGGAGAGGAAAACAAACAACAGCCTACTCATGATTTTAAAGAGGGAGGCTTGTCTAATTGGTCATCATCACCTTGACCCGAAATCAAGGGGTGGGTACACACCAGGCGGCCTCTCCCGAGGTTGTATCGATAGCAACTGGCTTGAGTCGCCCACCACATCTGCCCATCCATAGCGAGGTTCACTCCTAAAACAAAAATACAAACACGTTTCAGATTTCTGCTCAAACTACTATCTCTACAAATAATATTACCCGCTACTCTTCTTTCCCATATTTACACACAAAAAGAAAAGCATTTACAACTGTTGAGCTAAGCCGAAAGCTGCATGCTCTTACTCATAGTCTCCTCATCAACAACCATATCCCAGCTTTCACCGGTTGTGCTCTTCCCGTATTTGTGAACTTTTCTGTTTATGATACAAAGCACATTAGTGATCAGTCCCTACCATGGCTGATAATGCATCCGAGTGAAATGTATGATCAAATTAAAAGCCTGGCTCCAAAGTTTAATCACAAAATAATTTAAAATGAGAACATAAGCCGTTAAAGCATTGCAAATTCTAGCTTATTACATCAAAAAGTTTTAGGGGTTTGAAGTAATGTTTTGTACCCGTTTCCAAAATGCTCCTCACCCCATTTTCTCGACCAGCCTGTATGACCAAGCATATCTTAGTAACAAGGGGAAAAAAAAAAAAGCAAATAAAAAACTGGATGAGCAACAAACACAAATATGAAATATCACATCACTTCAACTTTATAGAGGAATTTTAGGCAAAACAGGTCGCTTCTATATGCCTACTCGCCAAAAACCAAAAAAGAAAACAAGTATCATACAACTACTCAGCATTTACATCCAATGTTGATGAATTCTACCGGCCATTGTCTATGCCATGAAAGGGAACAATATTCAACTACTTGGCGTTTACTTCCCACTAAGACAGAAGCTTACTTGAACCTATACATAAATTTCATTCCTAGTGAATGAGCGAAGGCTTCATTGGAAAAATAATTTATCTTCCCAAAGTTCCTTGTTACAGCTTAGTACAATTAAACAATTCATTTCAGCGTAAATTGATTTGAAATCTTCAACAGGTTTTCCTACCGAATATGGTGCTCATGCTAAGTGCAAACCTAGGAGAAATAGAAAGGATAATTTTTCCCCCAAGGATAAATAAAATGGCTAATATATTATGTACAACCTAAACCTGAACCAAACAACCTTGTGAAATTATGCATCTCAATTCACATGCAAATAGGGTGAAATGACTAAACTTACGTTCACCACCAGGAGATACATGCCATGTCTCCTCTTGACGTGTGCCAATACCAGCAAAGAGCTTATCTTCCCACTTATCTCCCCATTTAGTTCCCAATTCAGTCTCCGCCCATTTATCTGTCCTGAATGTTATAGGAACAGAGGTTTTAATATAATAACCATAGGAAAGTGCTTGAGGTGGGATGGCCTGACCAAATATGAGAATATAAAGAGAAGGAAATTTTATAATACAAATATCGGTTTAAGTAAATAGAAACAGATTTTAATATAAAAAGTAAAAACCATAGGAAGGATTCTCATGAAGACAATAAAAAAAACTGCCATCTTAAATTCCTAACATGTCAATATTTCTAGATAAAACATGGCATCATGATATAGTTTGTCACATTACCATCTAAAGATAGTAAATTGATGTAAAAAAGATCACGAGTGCAAACTATCAACAAGAAAAAAATCTAGTAATCGACTAATGCACTTTTGCTTCAGCATAAAGGCTACTTAAAAATTTACCATTTGAGAACAGATCCACTTCCATCATAATGCTCTCCCCAATTTTCCCACCATGACTGTTCATTCAGTCTACCATACTTATGTGCCCCTTTTTCTGTCCAGCCTTTAGCATCATACTTCTCCCACCTATCAAAATAGGTTCATCAATGTATGAAGTACTTGTTGGGAAATAAAACGAGTAACAAATAATTTCCCTATAACCAGATTAGTGAGAATACGAAATAAAAGCGGAAAAATAATACCCGAAATTGATAATGGAGTTTAGCCAATTTGCTTACGTCTCCGGACTGCTGCAGATCTTTTACTAAGAGAGAAAATTTATAGGTGTTTACAAAATACTCACTACTCACAAGAAAACTCTCTAGTATTGGGAGAAGGAAATGATTTTTGGGATAATTTTGAAGCTAAATGAGCTAGGGTATTTATAGTTGAAGCTTAGGGACTAATATTTGAAAATACCCTAAAGTGCAATGACTAAAATGTAATTTAACCATCTCAAAATTTCAACACACTTTAATTGCACCGAATTTGGTGCATTAATATAGCAGCAAAAGATGACTTCTTGTTGATTTTTGTGGCCCCCTTCTGCCCCCTTATTAGACTTTCAACAATCTCCCACTTGAAGACTGATTTTAATCTATCTTCACACATCGATCAATGCAGCAACATTTATGGTCTTGTTACTCTAGCATGCCAACTGAAGTTGAACACAACTTCAGTTTGTCCGTTGTCACCGTTTTTGTTAACATGTCTGTCGGATTTTGAGCTCCACTAATCTTTTCAAGTTTCAAAATCCCATCTTCCAGAAGAGACCGGATAAAATGATACCGTAATTGTATGTGCTTAGTTCTCGAATGAAAAGACGTATTCTTTGCTAGATGGATAACACTTTGATGAGTGTTCAGAATCGTTAATATTTGTTCGTTATTTCTTCAAATTTTGTGAAGTTATTACTGCTGATTTGGTTGTGTTATGTCTATTTTCGTGCAGGTCCTTACTTTCCAGAATTGGTGATAAAACGGGTGAATTCTGCATTTTTTTTATTTGGTCACGGCTGGAGACATGGGCACGACTCTGGGCACGACGCGGTCTGACGTGGCAGTTTCTAGAAGGTCCAATCAGCGGCGGTTTCTAGAAGACTTCGTCTGCACACCTTCTGGAAGATTGACGAGCAGAGTTGCATTAGGAGACTAGTTTAAGTTTGAATTTAAATTTAAAAACAATTATCTTTTGTATTATTTTATTATTTTCTTTGTTTATCCTTTAGGCTTTGAGAGGCTATAAATACCCACTTGGGGTAAGCCTAAACTGATCATTCGGAATACATTCTTCTTTTCTCTCTAGTTTTTATAAAAGCTTTTCTTTTTACTTTTCAAGTTCTTTTCATTTTTCTTATTTTCAAGTTTTGTTTTTATGCTAAGTATGACTTTTGTCATGCTTAGCTAAACTTTTCATAAGCCGAGAGCTGTCGCGATGATTCAATTCCAACGGGAGAATTGAAATGGTCCCTTAATATCTTCGGAATATCTCTCTCAATCTCTGCGCTTATTTTTTCAAAATCAAAACAGTTTTCAAAATCAAAGATTAACTTTGGTCAAGAGGTTGTTGCGATTAAACGTGTGGGAGGAAGATTCGACTTATAGAAAGCAATTCGACTTCCTAGGAACACACTTGGCGAGATAGCTTCGCCAAGAGGGATTTGAGATCGGAATTGACGGTTATAGAAGCAATAATCCGAGTCGGACGCCACGAACTTAAACAGTAATTGATCTACAACAATTGATGTTGTTAGAATCAATTACCGAAGCCAGAATCAAAGATTGCCTTGGGTATTCGGTATACAAGATAGAGTCACAAGGATAGCCCTTGTAGACAAAGTAACCGACGTGAATCCCGA